TCCAAATACGTTTACGCGGCAGAGCGACCGAATGGCCGCCATTAGTGACATTATTCTTAAACCGCTGGAGGAGAACGAGTACGACGTTCTGAAGACTGTGTTCCTCCAGTTTTACACCCCCTCTAATGAGGAAAGGTTATGCCAGTTGCTGGCTTGTCACCCGATTGGTGACACGACGCCAAGTATGCATGCGGGCGTCTACGCACATTAGCCGGCCCAGCAAACGGCTACTCTGACATCGTCAGAGAGCTGAGGCTCGAGTCGTTGCCACGTCACGTCCAGCCGACGATAACGGCTTTGCTGAAGAACTCCTCAATTGACAAAGCTGCTTCGATTGCCGACAAGATGCTTCCAGGCTGGAAGTCCGCGCACAGTTTCTAACAAACAGTGTGGTGACCAGCCGGAACAAACTCCCAGAAGTAGTGATCACAACAACAAACGTGATAAACATCAACCATAAACTGGATGACTGCTGGCTGACTGTATTCTCTTATTTGGAGTGATCAGTGCAAGGTGAACCATAGACCATCCGGAGAGTTCCTAGGTGAAAGTTAGTCTTATATCTCGTTTAGTTTTCCTTTTCCCTATCATCGTTCTAGTCCAAATAAATTTTATTTTCTTTCTTTTATTAAATAAAACTTACGTTTTCCTAATCTTGATTTACACAAAATTTATTACAAAATCGGCGACCCTGCCAGAATAAATTTCTAAATATGCCGGAGACTCTGAAAAGTAAAGACGCAACCGCACGGTCAGTGGACACGAGCGGCACGCTGCTGGCGAATGTTCTGAGTGCGCTGACGGAACGATTAGAAAAGCTATCCACCATAGGACCGACAGCGACCTGCTCAGTTCCGGAGAGGTACAGTTTTGGAGACAAGTTCCAGAGGTCGGAAAAGCAAGTAAAAATCTATCTTGAAAATTTTCCACCTGAACGCCATCCTACTTTTGTTTTATCGTCACTTGGTGGAATGACCTTTGATGTGGTGACCGAAGTGGACTGCATGAGGGGAGGCGTTACAGCAGAAAAATTTACGTGCCTTCGACTGTTGCTGGATTCACCCCTGCTGCTCATGGAGTATAGGAAGCAATTCAACTCACGGCAGCAATACGACGGCGAGGGCATGCAAAGTTTTGTGCGAGAATTGCGCCAATTGACCAGCAGGGCATGGGAAAATGATATACCATCGGAACTTGAAAAGAAGTTGCTGAAGCAACTAGTTGAGGGGTCCAGATCCAATAACGTATGATGGCATCTGCTTATGAACCCATCACTGTACTTAGAGATGGCTGTCAAACGTGCAGAATATCTGGAGAAGCTGGAGGCGGCCACAGCAGCACCTCAAGAATGTCCAGCAGTGGGACACGATGGTGCTCAAGAAGTCGTACGTCAGGCGTGGCAGAGAGGTCGAGGAATGCGACGACCGTGGCGGCCCACCTATCGGTTCCAGCACAGACCATCAGCCCGTTGGCATAACGGACATCCAACTACGGTGAGCCACAACCTGGTGAGTCGAAGCAAAACAAAACGTTGAATATCCCCACTCTTTGCTGCCCGTCGAATAGCCAGGACATGTCGATGATCAAACTAGCAATCTGTAATCTTATATGTTTAGCGCTGATAGATACAAGTGCCTTCCGGTCACTCATTAAGAGTTCGGTTATGCGTAAATTGAAGAGGTATACAGTGAGTCTATGTCTTAAATATCTCACTGTGATCAGAGGCGTGCCGATATCCATCCTGGGGAAGACGGTCGCTGCAATATCACTGGCGGACCAGGTTAAGAAATATTCTACGATTATTGCTGAGGATATTCCCTAGGAGGTTATATTGGGAATGGACGTGTTGCGTAGACAGGAATGTACTCGGGACTTGAATAATTGACAGTTGGTCACCCAGACCCTCTCAGTTCCGTTTGTGATCCGAAACCCAAAAACGAAAGATGCGCGCACCCTGACTTTAAACAACTGTGTCGCCCGTGGAAAACTGTATCGAGAAGTTAGCCAGGGAACTGAATGATAAATATGATGACGGAACCATAGGCCAGCTAGTCAACACTATCCTAGAGAAAGCCGAAGTGTTTGCCTGGAACAAAACTGAACTCGGGCACACAGAGGTGTTAAAACATCAAATCGAGACTGGATATGCAGTGCCGATCAGGACTGCACCTTGTGGAATACTGACCGGGACTTGACAGTGACCGTGAAAATCTGTCGTGGATCGATAAAAGTCAAAAAGGAAATCAAAATAGGCTCGCTGGAACAAAACTGAAGCCGTAACGGATTGTGAGAGATTTTCGAACAAACGTTTTGGTTGTGGTTATCCGTGAGATTAACACATGTTTTGTGGAATTTAAGTCATTAATCGTAAACGCTGAACTTCCTTCGAAGCATTAAGCTTGGAAGAATGTCAAAATCAGGATTCTGCGTTGAGCAAAAATGTAAAAAGCCAGTCTCCAACGGCATACAGTGCGATTGTGGTGGCTAGTGGTATCACCAGAGCTGTGCCCGCCTAGACAAAGGAGTGTAGAGACATACTCGAGTAATTCTGTGCTCCAGTGGATATGTTAACTGTGCGTAGCCATGGCAGAGAACACATCTAGGAAGCGCACTAATTCGGCTCCTGAGCCTAACGGTACAGACAACCGTGACCGCAACACTCATCCCGGTCAGACGCAAACGATCAAACGTCTAGAGCATAGGATTGCTGGCCTGGAAACCAAAGTGTCTGAATTGAAATGCGCCAAGGAACTGACGACGGGCCGAAATAGGAGCGTTCTCATTAAGAACCACGAAGAACCAGTTATAAGAGACGCGAAGGTCTGGGCGGATATTGGCGGNCTTAGAACCGCAGGGTTACCCGTGTATACACTCATACATAGGGTTCAGAGGATTGGAAGATGGAGGGAAGAATGTGCCCCAGGTGCCAGGGTTGCTAGACCCATTTGAGTTCGGAAATCCTAATATAAGGGATATGATACTATGCAGTAGTGAAAGAGTAGAAAGAGCTACCGGGGGTAGATATAGAATTGCACCAGATAACTAAAGTCGCATGAGTGAACGATCCCTGGTGGGCGTCCGACCAAAAGTGGATCACCTGCAACCAGGAAAAGGTGTATCCGTTAAGAGTGGCCCCAAAGGTCTTCAAGCCCACGCCTTGGTAAAGGTTCACGAAATAAAGCGTGGGCAGAAAGCACCAAATTATGCTGATGTTGTCACATCCACTCCACGCGTAGGCAGCCCTCAAAATATCACGCTCATCAGCCCGGGCCATCATTCAGTAAAAATGTAACCGAGAACGCCAAAAACCAACGTCAAACAAAAGCTTAGACAACCGAACTCACTACCTGTAACACCTTTTCCCCGCACTAAGGGGTGGGGAGTGGGGGGTGGGGTAAATGGCAGAAAGAACATCACCGGGGTTAACCAGGAGCGAACAGGAAGACTAGCATAAAAACGGACGGGAGGATAAAAACGCCACTGAAGGAGATTTCAGCCATATATATGAATATAACTATGACCCCTGTCTCCACTTCTAGGTGTACGCAAACTTCCGAAAATAAGAGTCCAAGGGTTGATATAAGAAATCCGCGGGTAGCAGCTGCTTTACAAACCAGCCATGGTAGCGTTCAACTGGATATAAATGAACCGGAATCGGACTGTGAGAGGACAGTCATTGACAGGATGGCTCAACCAAAAAGAAATATCCATGAGAAACCGCGCAGTAAAGAAATGAGCGTGGGAGCAAATACCGAGGGAAAAAACGTGCCGGGCCCTCGGGTGCTAAGCCCAAGGGAACTCATGAAGAAATTGGCCTTAACACAGAGGTCCCAGCACTGCAACCAGGAAGTTTGAAAATGTGGAATACAAACGTCTGCAGTGTTGGAAATAAGTGGGGCGAACTGAAAATCAGGTGCCCAGAATATGATGTAGTCATCCTCATTGAAACATGGTTATCATCAAGACACGTCATAGATCACTTTATACCCCTGAACTTTGCTGTGTACAGGACAAACTGTGAGGTGGATAAGGGAGGCGGAGTGTTGGTCCTCGTGAAGAATCAATATGCTCAGTGGGAAAACACTGAACTGAGACTGTGCACCCCCACTGTACAAACAGTGAGATGCACTATTTGGAACCGAGGCCGGAACTTCGTCATCCTTGGAGTCTACAGAGCACCCTCAACTAGATCAGAAGAGAATAGACAGCTGATGAACACACTAAGCACGTTAATTAGGATATCCACGAAGACCATTTTAGTTGGTGATTTTAACCTTCCGGAAATCGATTGGGGATACACTGACGCGGGAGATAGTCCCTCTGAAGAGGATTTTCTAAGGGTTTTCCACGAGCAGGCAATTTATCAATATGTTCGACAACCAAGTCGATTCAGATATAGGCGGAGATCGTCCATTTTAGATTTAGTGCTTACCCGAGCGGAGAACGGCGTCCGTGAATTGACTATGGAAGTCCCTCTGGGTAAGAGCGATCATGGTGTAATCACGTTTAGGACGTGCATAACTGGGGAAAAGCCCTCCTCCAAGTTCATCAGGAACTTCGGTCGAATGAATGTGACAGGCCTACACCAAGAGGCTGGTTCAACCATTTGGTGGGCATCGAGCTAAGATGCATCTGTCGAGGAGGAATGTGGCGTACTTTGGAAAGGCCTCGTAGAGCTCACTGACAGGTACGCGCCATTGAAGCCGAAGAGTTCTCAAAACCCTTCGTGGTGGACAACTCCGATAAAGAGAGCGATAACCTTCCGGAGGCGTAAATGGAGGGATTACACAAACTTTAGATGGCAGCAGAGGTGGTTGGCCTACAAAATGGCCCAAACATACGCAAAAAATCTTATGAAACAAGCAAAAATGAAACATGAACTAAGGATCGCCCAGCAAGCTAAATCCAATCACAAAAGGTTCTACGCGTATGTATAGTCGAAGGCTGCCCTCAGGCAAGCGGTAGGGGTCCCACGAAATAGCACCGGAGAAGTGTCGTCGGAGACAGAGAAGTGCGAGATACTCAGAAACGTTTTTGAAAGCGTCTACAAAATAGATGATGGGCGCAATTACCCATCATATTTGCCACAGGTCCGAGCTCCTCTTATGATAGACAGAACTCAAGTTCTGAAGGTACTCAGTGAGTTAAAGCCTAGCAAATCAGCGGGGAGTGATGGATCACATCCAGCGATCGTTAAGCCGCTCGCAGAGATTTTGGCAGCTCCTGTGTGTGTATTATACGAGAAACCCCTCAGAATCAGTGAGATACCGAACGAATGTAAGACGGCGAAAGTCGTGGCGATACATAAGAAGGTTGACCGAAAGGCGCCAGGAAACTACAGGTCAGTTAGTCTCACTAGTATCCTCTGTAAAGGACTAGAGACAATAGTTAGAAACGGCATAAAGAAGCATGTTGCGCGTTACAACTTGTTATCCCCAACCAAGTATGGGTTCCTGTGGTGATTCGGATCTACGAGATCACGCCTGACCTGGAGCAGCGCGGTACAGTTTCCGGACATTGGTAGTCAATCGACCTTGAGCGTTGACGCCAGTAGCACGTGCACAGTCTCCGGATACACGTCATTGGTGCACCGTTCCAGCCAATCAGATACAATGCAG